TTAAACAATATCCACATTAAGAAATGTTCAAAAATGTCTTCCCATCCCTCTTTAAAATGCAAATATTTATAAAATCACCACAGAATTTTTGTAAGAACCTGAATTAATGTTAATAAATAATGGCTGATCCTTAAGGAGCTCAACCATAGGTTTCTCTGCACAAAGATGAGAAACTGGTCGTGATGTAAAAGTTCATTAGTCAGTTGCGGTGGCTATTTCAAAACCTTTATTTCAGTAAACGTCTCAAACTAGTAAAACGATTTTACTAGCTACACCACTGCTACAGGTTCATGCTGGCAAAACATTCATTTTAATATGATGAACTCACAATAAAGTCCAACTCTTTGTTTACTGATAAGAAGGCAATATAGAGGATGTATGTACACAACAGTCAATGAATATCCATCATTATAAACACCAAATCTACAAAACTGTTTGCATATATTACTCCTATATTACTTTGTCTTCAGTTTGAATTCTACTATGCATTACCTGCATCATATTACTACTATTAGCTGTAGTCAATTACATACCTATAATTCAACAAGGTGCACAGAACTGCACAATTGTTGATTTACAAACAGTTCTATCCCTAATCAAGCAACATCACAATTCTACAACCTCAGTGATATTTAAACACGACAACTGCTGAAAAACGCAAGCTACCAACCTTACCAAACATGCTTGCACGATCCCAGACGCCTGTTACAAGAAGAAATCGAGCTTATTCCCTTGGCTTCATTTACTTTCAACTACAAAATAAAGGATTTAAAAAATATATATATGTATATATACACAGTATAGAAGTTACTGCAATGGGAAATTTAAAAGTAATAACTTATTATTTTTATTCCCAAACCTTCACATTCAAAGCTTAAAATAATAGATTTTATCATTCCTACTCCTTCACTAGTACTGTATATACAATTGGCCACTACTAACCCATGAACTAGTTACTGGATGGATTATATAATGATCATCTTCCAAACTTACTCAAGCCTGCAATAGATAGCAACACTTGTTTACTTAAATCTGAACACCATTTTCCTGTTTATTTACTTGAATCGAACACTATTTTCTCCACTTGCTTGCTTAAATCATAATGCAATTTTCCCACTTATTTGCCTAAATCCCAACACTATTTTCCCCATATATGTACTTAAATCCAAGCACCCCTTTTCTTTTATTTATTTATTTAAATCCAGCACTATTTTCCCATTTATTTAGTTTTCTTACCGATAACCTGAACATCACATAACATCTTAGTAAACAAAGTCATTGCTACCCAATTGCTTCTTGAAATTTATCCTTAAAATTAAAAAAAAAAGTAAATGCTTTTGCTAATGTATTATTATGGGTAACAAAAAAAAAAAAAAAAAAAAAAAAAGAGGATATACATACTACAAAATCCCCTCCTGTAACCTACTGTATAATGACTGAACATATACCTATATGCCTGAGCAAATGTACAAAATAATTCATGAATAACTGGAGAATAAATTTGTTAATACAAGCCTATTCATTCTAATTGAGCACCATTATTAACTTAAAAATGTAGATTATAACATTTATCTATAATTATGAAAATCATATTTATGATTTTCAACTTCCACAGGATAACTGAGTTAATGAGTACTGTACAGCACTGTACTTTAGAAATTCAGTCAAGACCCAAATTTTATATACAAAATATTATTGTCAATCTTGACAGGGCAAAAAAACAATCTTACCCAACTACATTATTTTGGTATTAAACATTAAAACTTAAAAAAGTAAGTTTTGTGAACTAATTTTGACCTTCATTGTCTCAATAGTCTGCAAATGCCCAATGAACATTTAGTTATTAACTTTGCCAGATTCAGTTACACTAAAATCTTGACAATATGCCACATAAAAATTTATAATATTGAGAGTGTCTGGGTTTTTATCAGCAAAATTAACCTTTATGATAAGGCAAGTAAAGAAAACCTCCTGTTGTATTCTATTTCTTTACAAGCATGTACTAAGGGGCGGTTGAATTATCCAGCACTCGATTCTACAAAACCCTCTCACAAACCTTGTTCATCACTCTCTAATAAACTCAGCCTTCAAAGAGAAAAAACTAAATTTAATATGCTCTTGCAATCTTCTTGCTAACCTATTGTCACTCTCCTACACATCAAAGTTGGTACAATTTGGCCTTCCAAAATATTTAGCAAAATTTGTATTCTCAAAATTTTACACTTCTTCACCATCTGTGCATATTTCATACAACCTTTCAGCAACATTCATTTTCATTATTTATCCTTGCTTAAATTTGTTTGCAATTACTGTACAGTATGTGAAATGGTGTCCCCTACATCAACTGTACCCACGCTCGAGTCCTGTCCAGGGTGAGACGTTTAGGCTCATTCCTTACACTTGCTGCCTTTGTTCACCAAGCATTATATACAGGCCTGGGAGTTTGGCAACTGTTGTAGTGTATTGTAGTGTACATCCTAGGGTCTTGGCGAGATCTCAGCAAGCCTATCAAGCTTCCTGTCTTTGACAATGGGAAGCCAATCTTACATACACTTTACTTCCTATATAAAATGACGACCTTTCTTTCACATCAATGTACTGTATTTACATTTATACTCCCTTAAAAATTCATTCAATTACTAACTACAGTACTAACAAAGATCTCTCCTACAAGTCTATCAGCAAAGACTTTCAACAAAAAAAAAGAAGATATCAAACATGCTTATCTTACCTAAATTTTAGTTCAAAATCAATCACAAAGTTCAATTCTTTGCTTTCCATACACAGATTCATTATTTTTAATAGTGTTCCTTTTATTCCCCCTATCATAAACTTTACGGAAAACCTATTAATATTCAAATAGGACTACAGTGGCCTCCAGCTCTAACAGAACTCGACATACTGGAAAGTTAGTTGCGACGTAAAGTCATATTCTAGTAGCATGATCCTCACATTTGGTTGCAACATAAAATAGTGCAACAGATTTCTGGTGAAGCAATGTCATGCATTTGCAGGACAAAGAATTTAATGAAAAATGCGAGAAAATCAATAAACTCTTGCAATACATGTTTCTCAAGTGCCGTTAGTACCCAAAGGTGCACAAAAAAATATTCTGTCATCTGCACTAATAAAATATAGAACAATGTGATACAATAGACAACAAAAATTAGCATATTTTAAGTGCAACAAATCTCCAGTTGAAACAGATGGTGGTCTGGTATGAATCTGCTCATTCAAACAGGAGTACACACTGTTTCTTTTATGAAGTCACTATTTGTATTGTAAAACCCTGATTCGTGCAATGATAATTCTTCAAATTATCACACTAACCTCTCTTTACCACACTATTTATTTTATATTTTCTTGATAACTATTGTACCATAAGCCTCGCTAAACAGAGTCACTTTCCCCAGGCAAGCAATGTAACAACATTGACGAATGTTGATTAAACGTTAAACGTTTTGCCTGCTGGGTTAAGTTACTCTTTTATTTTTCGGCTCTGACAAATTGAAGCAATATAGATACATAGGAAAATAAAAAGAGAGCAATAAAAATCACCTATTATTACTTTTCTCAAATACAGACAGCCATGCTTTTTGAACCCTCGGAACTGAAACTGAACAGGTAACCTGTGGTGCTCTGGTAAGTGGTTCGTCACCATGAAAACCTAGGGAAAACAACTTGAAATTTTGTTGAAGAAATTCAAAATTGTTTGTCCAGTACTCACCAATATGAGAAGTTCTGATCCCCCTTGTTAACTTGTAATTTGAAGACTAATTGATCGAGCATTGTTATGTAGATAGAAAAGGTGGTGGTGAATGATGATAGTGTTGGGTTGACTGAAGTGGAGATTAACACTATCGGTAACTTTGGACCGGACTCTCGTCCATTATTTTTTTCTTGAGTCCTAACTTTGGACCGGACTTGCATCCACTACAAAAATATTTGTATAAAATTCATTTTTTATCCAATCGACCTAGGGATAGTATCAAAATAAGCGCCTTTAGAATGTGCACAATTTGATACCAAAACGAAAGATGTAACATGAAACTTGATGTCCGAACACTTGTATGATTATAAATAGGATTTTGGTCAAAATTTTAAAATATTTGTTAAAATTCTATTTATTGTGCTATTGTGTTGGGACTAGTTTTAAAATGCGCGCCTTTACGTCGCGAACAGTTTGATACCAAAATGAAAGATGTAACACAAAAATTTATGTCAGAACACTGGAAAGATATAAATAATTTTGTGATGATGAGCTTTCAGAATTAAAATATTTGTTAAAATTCCAGTTATTGCTCTATTAATATGGGACTAGTTTTAAAATACACGCCTTTTTATTGCGAACAATTTGATAACAAAATGAAAGACGTAACACGAAAATTGATGTTATCAAACTGAACGAGTATACACATTAGGTTGCAGTGTACAAATTGGTGCTCGTTCACGGATAACTTTAGGCTTTTCTGCGGGGAGGCACTCCAAACTTTTGTACATTATATTCACACATATCTGTAGGGAATTTAATTGCAAACACAATGATACCAAAACGAGCGACGTTGCACGAGAATTAAGGTGAGAAAAATGGAACGAGTATGCACATTTTACCGATTTTGTGCGCTCACGGGTAACTTTTACTGACTTTAGGCTTTGCTGTTGGGAGTCACGCCAGGCTTTTGGACATTATATTTATACACACCTGTAGGGAATTTAATTGCGAACACAATGATACCAAAACGAACAACATAGCACAAGAATCGAGGTGAAAAAGCTGAAACGAGTATACACATTTAGGTGTCACCGCACACTTACCCGCACGCTTGGTACATAACCCTTAAGTTAACCGCGCGTCTGCCCGGTGACCGATAGTGTTAATGGTAATGAGGTAACCTCAGCAGACTTTCACCATGTACTCTAATGTACCTAATGCCATGGCCTAGTTTAAAGCTTCTGACCCATCCATTAGTGCATGAACACTGCTTAAATGGCACTGTGTATGGTCACTGGGCAAACTAATTCCATCTTTATTGAAGATTTTTAGTCAGACTGCAGGCATTTTCGGAAAAAAAAAAAACAATGCAAAAAGCAGGCATTTAAAAAAAAAAAAAACTGGCATTTTCGGGGAAAAAAAGGCATTCATAAAGCACATGGCTTGTCTGCATATAGCAATATACTCAAGATTTTATGTATTTTAAAAATTAAAGCTAATCAGAAAATATTTTCCAAGATCATTTTCACCCGAAAAATACATAAAATTAATTCGTCAATTGTTCTTAACGTCCTAAATATGAAAATGTAATATAGCAAACAACAAAGCCAATCTCATCTCTCATTAGACATTCTGTACATTAATGAGAATCAATCAGAAATTAAGCCCATCAGCTAAATTCTAACACATTTTTTCTTTTGTTTTATTTACAGTGTGAAAACCTAATCATGCAAGTTGAAGTTTCTTACTGAACATTCACCGGATTTCAATGAGTTAATCACCGGAATTTATACAATTAACACGAGATTATATTATACCTGGAACTTTCATATATAATTATAATACATACTGAAAACTAATAAAATATAGAAGTACAGTGCTTAAATTATGGAAATCTTTCAACAACATTAGAGCTGCCAAAAAAATAAATAAAAAATAAATAAACAGAGGAACCCTTTTAACAATTTTCCTAACCCTGAAAACGAGTCACTGTACAGTACGTATCCATCAATGGTTGTGCCGGGTCATTTGAATGACTCGTTCAAATATATAACACTTAAGGGCTTTCTATGCGCTACCTGGCATCATCATTACTGCCATATAGCACTGTAGCTAACTGTCAGATGCCCTGCATGACTGATACCCCTGATTAAACCCAAAATAGAGTCTGCTGTGGTAAACAAAATAGGTTCTAACTATTTAAAACTAACTATGGGGAAAACTAACAACAAAGACTGACTAAGCCCAAACTCAGATACAGTGGATCCACCACAGCAGCCCCAAATGAAGACACAAAATTCTTAAGAGCAAAAAGCCAGGGAGACAAAGATTGCAGGAAACTACAGGAACATCCACTATTCACCCTACATGACTGGCAATAAGACTAAGAAAGAAACCTAGAGAAGGTCCCTAAATGAAAGAGGGGCAGGAACTAAATTAGCCTGCCTCAAAAGTAGAGACCAACACCACAGTACCCATAAAAGCTCTCCAATGTTGCAAGAACTGGCCAAAGCACAGACTAGAAGAACCCAAAACCATCATATGTGGAATTCAGCTGAGAAGTAGTGTCTACAGAGAAAAGCATCACAGCTATGGAAAAAGCTATCAATATGCAGTATTGGAATATGCATGGAATCACACTCCATGAAAGTGACTGCCTTGAGCACAAATGTAAATCCTAAGAATCTAGAAGCCACGACTAGTGTTCACTCTCACAAACAGTAGGGAAAGAATGAAAAACATGCTGGTGCACTGATTTTAGATGCACAGCTGCACCAAGCCACATTGTTAAGCAGCAGAATATTCTTATTTTAGTACACCTTTCCTCAAACTTACTCCTATTGCAAGGCCACTGGATATAGTGACACAAACTTATACCTAACCCAACCAAGCACAGTCTGCCTGCATGTGCACGAGCTCACAAAATAAGACGAGGGGCAAGCAGATGGCCATCCATGATGAGGAAGCCTTGGAACCCCACACTAGCCCCAACCAGGACAGACACAGCGAAGGCTGGAGCCAGGAAGTTGGCTCAGGGAACAGGAGCCAAACTACCCAGCACCTCCAACGTACACTCCCTGGCCAGAGGCAAGGCCAAAGAATGAGCGCCTAAAGGAATCAGTCATTAAGGGAGGCTGAAACATCTAGGCCCTAGGACCGAAGCCCACGGAGAGCCACCCTGAAGCAGGGGATGAAAGGCCGGAGCACCAGAGGCAACCTGAAGGGAAGGGCCTACAAACAGTAGGAGATAGAGTCAACTCTTCACACCAATTGGAGGAAGTATGAAACTGGTATCACCTCAGGAAACTGACGTAAACCCCATTTGGAGCAAAGCTGGGTCAAATTCGGATACATGGACCCAGTCATCTCAAGGGAGAGAAAAAAGGCATGAATCCCACATGAAGGTAGGTGAAGGGTGCAGCTCTGAGAAACAGATCACAGAACTGCCCCTTCATGGATAAGAGGAGGATATCACTGTACACAAATCCTACAAGCAGAAGAGGGAGCAAAAACCAAATGCTAATACATTTGGGTTTTCCCTCACATTATAAGGGAAATAAAAATCCAGCACCCAGAAACTGAAACAATAATGCCAAGAAGCTCGCTTGCAGCAGTCAACTAGCTCTTCAGAAGTTCAGAGATGCTGTCTTACAAGACTGACAATCCAGCATAGTGAAGTTCCTCCTTAAAAGAAATAAGCATGAAAATCACAAAAGCTGAGACAAGACTCCTTCCAAACTGAAAGTTTTATCGACATCCTGAAATTTAGTTGCCGCCAAAGATGTAGGGAGCCAGGTTGGAAGCTTGAAGAGGGTCATAGCCCACACACGATGGACATAATAGGCTAGAGCAATAAAAGCTTGCATCCGTAAATGACAAAGCAGGAGGGAAACAGAGAATGTCAACAGAAACAACTACAAATGGAAACCATTTATATTTCATATACTTTACATTAATATTTTTTATGCATTGTATATGCTAGCTGAAGCAAGTGCTAATGTAACATGAATGGAAAGTTGCAGTAAAAAAAAAAAAAAATTACTGTTGTGTCAAACAACATCGAGGAGTAAAATAAAGGCCTTAATCTAGCTAAGTCCCATACTCCAATACAATGAATGAATGATGAGGCCTGGCTTCCATGGCACGAGTTCTGAGCATTACCCGATCTAACAGAAAAATAGGCAAAGGAATCATATGAAACTAATAACAAAAAATAGCCATGATTAACTGGGTACAGAGGTATTATCTGGCGTAGAGTCAACAGACCAACTCATAAGCGACATATTGTGGCCAATTGGACCTTAGTACAAGGCAAACAAATGTCTGTCCCAAAAGCATTTCAGTGAATTAGTTGGATATAATTCTGAACTGAATAGTCATCTCCAGTTTTCCTAGCACCAGTATGAGCTAGCACAGATGATTGTAAGGACTCCTGCTATGCTACAACAGAATGTCAAACTGCTCCGACTATGCTGGTTCCTATCCATGTGACCAGAAATATCTGGTCTGAAAGAGGATTTATCCAAAGTGGCAAATATAGATTGAATAATGTTTTGAAAACATTATGTCTTATTGCACATACTTTTCATTACTAATTATCTAGTTCAACAGTAAATTCATCCATTCACAATCATTTTTAGGCATGAGCAACTACATGCTGTATTGAAAAAACTTGCAAACTTTATCCAAAATTAAATTTCAGAATGTGAGAAAACTTTCAATATTTCTTTTTCTATAGTCAATATATTAAATTTTAGTGATATTAATTTTAAAAAGGCTTTCCACTTACATAAGCCGATTTTTTTTTTAATTGGCAGCTCTAATGTGCTCAACATTACAAAATCTTAAATATGTTTGATTTACATCACATTTCCCATTTAAAAAACAATGACAACAATGTTAATGTTCTATAATAAATTCGACCCAAAGTGACATACTAGATATATTATGTAGTCCCTCACTTTACATTTCTAATTTTCTTAAATACTAAACCTTCAGAAAACATTGTTTACAAGTATTGAGCTGGGGGAGGGGGGGGATGTTAGCTGAGAGGGCACCAAGTTCTTCCATGCAATATGTGGCATTCTCTGCAACAATCTTGCTCACTCGTCTATGGCATTTTACACGCATTATGAACACATTCTTGCATTACGACATCATCAAACTCCTGCAGGTATTCCTCAATGTCAAGACACAACCATAAAGAAATCCTAGATAATATTTATGAAAGATTAGGGACACTGCCGTGTCACTTGGTCGTGAATGTATATAAAACACGATTTAGTCAAGCATACATAATCGCCCCTCCACCCGTTTACAATCACACCAACCTGGTCTACGACTCCTGCTAATATCCCCAGTACCTCTGCTAGCTGACTGATGTTCACCGATAGCCCAATGGAAACATCATCTCTACTAATCATGACACTGTCAGTGTAAAGAAAGTGTATAACCCCTGTAGAGCCCTCTTCCACCCTCACCATCCTATCTTGACACTTACCTATCAGGGACTATGGAAGAGCAGGATCTAGCCCACCTAGGAGCCTGTTTTAGTGAGCATTTATAATACCTGTATTTATTGTCTGCATTGGTTCTACATATATATCCGTTCCTGGGGATTTGACATTTAAAGGCAAGAAGAAGCCAATACTAGTACTGTAATTGCTATCCAAAGCCTTATCTCGGGTCCAATCTAGTGTAAAGTGAGGAGCCACTGTATAATTTCAAATACAAATTAAACATCTAATTGATGTTACAAATTGAAAAAGGTTCAAGACACAATGAAATGCCGCCACTTTCATTTAATGTCATGTTGGGTTATTTGATATTGTAACTCATTTTCTGAAACATTTGAATTGTTGATATTGTCTTTAAAGTCATTACAGGCTCCTCATTCATCTTTATATATATTGGTGGATGTATATTCACCAATAATCTTTAGGGAGCAGAACAGAACCAAAATAATTTACACAAGTCTTTTTAAAATATGAACCCCCTAATAATGAACCAACAAGTAATTTTAACTAGCATTAATTACTATTATTGCCAAACTTTACTGGGTACATAAAAAAACTGGTTCTTATTCTGTGTAAAATAACATCAAACAACACTTTAATAACATTGTGCCTTCATGTAAAAAGAAGGCAAAACATGCTTGAACACTTGATGCAAGCATTCTAGAAGAAGAAAAAAATACTGAAGTTTTATCAAATATTTTAAGGAGAATCAGCATAAAACACTAATTTTTCAAATTTTGCCAGAATTATAAAGTAATTTCTATTATAGGATTTATTGCTGCAGAAACTGGTTACTATTCCTGCTGCAAGATATTTAAGTGTAAATGGCAGTATTTTACTGGACAAAACCCACAAGGATCACACAGAATGGTACACGTACTACACGGTACACCCAAACATTATGACGATGTTAACACCGCACCCAATGACCAAAACCATCGTAATGCTTTAGATACTTCTGCCGGTAATAGCAATTTGACTATACCTGCAGAGGGAATATTATACAGTACAAAAGAATATACGAAATATTCACAGGTCTTAAAAATGATCATGACGATGTTAATGAGATTCTCACAGCATAAGACAGCACAAAAGTGATTCACATGTGAACAGTACACAATCAAGTGATGAAAAATCAGTGAATACACACCTTAAAAAATATAATACAGTATTTATAAAATAGTGTAACAAAGTAATTTTCTTACTATTATTAATATACTACCAACAGTTTAGCAACTACTACATAGAATTTGAATAAAAAACTAAGCAAAACATTTGGCACATGAGAATACCCCTTTAGGTCAGAAGCCTCACACAATCATCTCTTCCGACTGCCCCCAAAGGCTTATTTTCACCCGGAGAAGTCTACGAGGCAAAAATAAACATGAAAAAACTGCTGCAAATGCTCCCTTTAGGTCATGGTACACAAAGCCTGAGAAACATATATTAAATCAGGTAACATTATGAAACATTATAAGCAGATAACTGCTTTTAGACACCAATGGAAGAACATGCTACCTTATGGGGAGACACCACCTTCCTTGATGTGGATGTTTTTGTTTTTCCTTTGGCCACATTCAAGAGTACTGCAGCTCACATTCAGAGAACTAAACTCATATTCAGCTCATATCCAGAGTATTGTACCCCTACATTCAGAGTATTGTACCCCTACATTCAGAGTATTGTACCCCTACATTCAGAGTATTTTACCCCCACATTCAGAGTATTGTACCCCCACATTCAGAGTATTGTACCCTACATTCAGAGTATTGTACCCCACATTCAGAGTATTGTACACCACAATCAATACTGTACACCAAATTCAGAGTATTGTACTTCACAGAACTATAAACTGCAATTTCTTATTTTTGTCTTTCCCTTTAACTAGGAATACAAATGTGTATTTCACAAATAATATTCAGTATTTTTTGCCCACTTTGAATTCCACCACTGTAAATACTTGTACATAATATAATCATTTGACGCAAGTGTATGCACTAAGGTACTTTGAAAGTGGAGAGGGAGGGACAGGGGGGGGGGGGGGAAAAGAGTTAAAATTTCCAGATAATGAACTTGTATAAATACTTAAATTTCTAGCAATGATTAGCAAAATCTTGTTTGGCTCTGATAAAAAGCAACAAGCCTCCCAAGTCAGAAGAGGAACATATATTGCTCGTTTCATTTTTTGTCAAGCTTAAAATGAATAAAATACTCGACACATTTACTAAAACTGACATATTTACTCATTTATATTCATGACAATAACTTGTCAAGTTTAGAAATGAAGGTACAATACTAGTCTTTATATTTTAATTTGATTACAAATGGTTATTTTGACCGAGAATGAAAATGTATCACTAAGCAACCTCTGATTAACCTTTATACTGCTCCAAGCTATTTGCAATTACCTCCTGTGTGCAGATCCCCAAATATGATCCCCCCCCCCTCCCTCCCCCAAATTTATTTTTTTAACTACTCGTAAATAGCTGAGCTGACTAAGAGTTAATTCCCCTCTATATCTAAATTTGACTAAACTGCAACGTAAGGATGACTTGGTCTCATTACTGTGATACGGAATAAAAATGTTGTCGATTGTAATTTAAAGTACAGCAAACAGGAACAAAACAGTACATTCAAAATGTAATTTGATTTAACTGCTGCACAGTTTTTTTTTAAAGAAAGCCTCTATTTAAATTATACACGATGCTTATCTGGCAGTAAAATATAGCGGAAAAATTAAATTGCATGTTAAACATCACCAGCAAAATGAGAAAAGCAATGTTACTATGACCTTCATGGAGGAAATACTGCATTAACGTGGCAGATGGGAAACCAGCATTGAATCACCATCCTAGTCTAGTGTCGTCATTTTCTAATGTAACGTACTCCCTTGGAAAGTATCCAGTCTGAAAAAGCAAGTTTAAATTAGTTAAAACACAGCTTTTCACTCGCCCACACACCTGCTCCCCCACACATAACCCTTTCCCCCCCTCTTCACACATATACATCCACCCTAAATAAAATTACTCCCAAACATCTGCCATGAAATGGACAGAGAAATATCTAATAGTTGATATCACACCAAACCTGTCTCCTGAAGCCCACATCAAAAGAATATCAGCAGCCGCATGTGAGCTGCTGTTAGCAGCACTGGCTAACATCACAACTGCCTTTAGAAACTTGTACAAGAAATCACATAGAACCTTGTATACCACATATGCAAGGCCAATCCTATAGTATACGGCTCCAGCAGGGAGTCCATACCTTGTCAAGCATAAGACAAAGCTGGAGAAGATTCAGAAGTATGCCACTAGACTAGTCCCAGAATTAAGGGGGTATGAGTTACGAGGAAAGGTTCCGTGAATTACACCTCACGTTGCTGGAAGGCAAGAGTTTGGGGGAGACATGATCACCACGTACAAAATTCTCAGGGGAATTGACAGGGTTAGCTTCTTGAGGTTATCTTGAGATAATTTCGGGGCCAAGTGTCCCCGCGGCCCAGTCCTCGACCAGGCCTCCACCCCCAGGAAGCAGCCCGTAGCAGCTGTCTAACTCCCAGGTACCTATTTACTGCTAGGTAACAGGGGCATCAGGTTGAAAAACATTTTACCCATTTGTCTCTGCCTCCACCGGGGATCGAACCCGGAACCTCAGGACTACGAATCAGAAGCGCTGTCCACCCAGCTGTCAGGCGTCCTTGTAGAGTAGACAAGGATGGATTTTTTAACACAGGTGGTACACGCACAAGGGGACATAGGTGGAAGCAGAGTACCCAAATGAGCCACAGAGGCATTAATATGAAATTTTCCAACATCAGAGTAGTTAGTAAATGGAATGCACTAGGAAGTGATGTGGTGGAGGCTGACTCCATACACAGTTTCAAATGTAGATATGATGGAGCCCAGTAGGCTCAGGAATCTGTACATCAGTTGATTGATGGTTGAGAGGTGGGACCAAAGAGCCAAAGCTCAACCCCCACAAGTACAACTAGGTGAGTACACACACACACACACCTAGGGGCCTGGTAGCCTGGTGGATAGCGCGCAGGACTCTTAATTCTGTGGCGCGGGTTCGATTCCTGCACCAAGCAGAAACAAATGGGCAAAGTTTCTTTCACCCTGAATGCCCCCTATTACTTAGCAGTAAATAAGTACCTGGGAGTTAGTCACCTGTCATGGGCTGCTTCCTGGGGTGTATGTGTGTGTGGTGTGGAGAGGGTGGGGGGTAAAAGTAGTTAGTAAACAGTTGATTGACAGTCAAGAGGCGGGCCGAAAGAGCAAAGCTCCACCCCCGCAAACACAAACAAGTGAATACACACACACACAGTACACCATGAGCATAGCTCTCATCCTATAATTACACTTAGAAAATTACTCAAAGCTTTATCATTTCATTAGGAAAAATTTGAAAAATATAAAACTTGAGAAAACTGGACTTATTAGGCAAACTGGGCCCTGCATAGCAGTCCAAGTACTGCATTCTGGCTATTACATGCATACATACACATACATTATATATATATAAATACAACAAGGCAACATCAACCAACCCCCTTAAAAAATAATAATAATGAAAACCAATAGTAATTTATCTTCCTCCTTTCATATAAACAATGAGCCAGGACTTGCTATGCAGATAAGCTCTTAGACAAGTATTCATTAGTTACAGAAATACTTTACTGCAACTTACATGGTTGTCAATCCGACCTTTCCACCAGCCACGATTCTCTCCTTCTCTGCTCATGATTACTACTCTCTGGCCTGGCACCAAACTTAGGTGGCTGGGACCAGTTCCCAAGTACGGAAACTTCACTATTGCAGTGTCGTAGAAAGGACGGCGCAAGCAACAATCCAACCTGTTGTAATATCTCACTTTAGATTGTATTTCACAATTGACACTGGAGAAAATTATTACACACTATATCTATAGTTTTACTTAAGAACATAGTATAATTTTAAAAAGACCATGGAAACAGCATAACACATGATATCGAAGCTTCTAAACAGATTACTCCTTTACTATTGATACATATATAACAAATAAATACAATGGAAGAACTGATCTTAGTATCCGAGTGGATACAAGTTACACCATGATTTGCTAATGGATTTTAAAACCTACGTAAATGTACCAATGAAATATTACTAAACCTAACCCAATGAAACCAGCCCAGAAAAGCCAAACATAGACCAACCTAAGCTAGAACATCCTAACCTAATAATATACACGGCTCTGACAATTGTAAACTAGCTTTATCGAATTGTCTTGTGTACGACTTGGCCATCTGCGCATTGGATTGATTACAGTACTTCATGTTTGAATAATGCACAAGAAATCTCATAACAATCTCATACTGTATATTGATTGTATCCTATAATTTAAAAATTCTAAACCTAAAAAAAAGGCCAACACAAATTAAATATCAAATCAATTAGTAAAGAGCAATAAGAGTCAGGGATTCCCATCCCTTACCAAGTGCACATGCCTGCCATGTGTACAGTTACCTAAAATTACCCGAGGGCCACATCTCTAGTGGCATCGACATGCTGCTAGGTCATGTTGTAGATATTGCAGTTATGACAAGTAATTTTTATTCCCTACATACAAGTTCTTGTATTTTTCAAGATGAAAAAAGCATTTGCATCTGGAATAAAAAAAAAAAAAAGCATCTGGAATACTAAAGCACTAGTGAAGCATGGAATGAACAGTGAAATTTGAGTGTGTAATACAGAATTCAAAAAAGACGTGCAGAAAATAGTGCTTTTTACTGTAAGTATTGTATTTCTAATTTCTTTTCCTACCATCAGACTCTGTATTTATGCCTACGCTAAATTCTCTCAACACTCGCATTGGCATAACCACTTTCACTCGGTTCACATACTCCAAGACGATGCATAATTAACCACTGTGCTGCGCGGTTTTAAAATATGACAAACCTGTGGTGCACCAAAAATAAATTCTTTGCAAAATTTTTTATCTTCTTATATTGTTAAAATGCAGTCTCTGATCATGGGGAAACTAAAAAAAAATATATGTGACATACTTTAGCTGTGATGGAGCCAAGAAGTTGAACAAATTATGGGCGCTGAGGGATGAGGCACTTGGGAATGCTCAACCCCGCCATCCATGGGGCGGCAGTTGCCACAAATATAATTGTTCACAATTTTAATGTCTCATTTCTTCTGTTTTTTTTTTTTTTTTTTTTTTTTTTTTGCTGTATTATTCAAAAGTGTGCAATTTGTGGAATTTATATAGTTCAATGTGTGGAACATCACCATGTTCAAAATTATGGGGCTCATATGACACTTATATTATATGCTACAATCAATCAAACAGCATTTTTGCCTTTATTACATTATACACACATGTTATATATAACTATCTACCTTTTTGTGCACCATAATGAACTACAAAGTTCGTGTGTTCAGAGTTTATATACACAGAACAAGAATCCAAGGTCAGCCTAGCGGCCGATAACTGAGTGTGGCAGGGGCTGCCCCACATACATTTTTACATAATTATTTCAGTGTGTGTGAATTGTTTTATATCTAGTTCTTTGCAGTAATATTATTCAATAGTGTGTAATATATGGAATATGTATAATTAAATGTATGGAACATCAATATTCTTAAAAATATGGAGCTCATATATGGTGACAAATTATGTTCTTAGATCAACCAGTGTTCCTGTTGTTATTACTCTATATATGCACATTATATATCACTATCAACATTTATATGCACCATAACATACTAATAAGCAGATCTGGCGAGTATGGTGATGAAATCGAAACACAGCATGGAGCCACAAGCAGACAACACCAGCAGTCACATGATGCAAGACAATGCCTCCAATATTCTACACATCTCGCTATGACTAGCTACAAAACTGCTGTTATTCTCACATTCCTGTCACAAAATCTCTAAGATGAATCCATTTCCATAAGAAAATGAACATTAGTTAAGGAACATAAGGTCATTTCATGATGCATAGATACAGGAAACAATGGCTGGGTGCTGTGTATGTACCTCATGCAGAGAATATTACAACTAGCATTGTATTCACTGATATCTGAATGTTGTAGTCTATCACAGTCAGGATCATCTGACACTATCAACGCAAAATAATTTCAGTTACCTATTTCATTCATCATTACTAAGTGGTGCTGTGGCCCCTCCCTAACTGCACAGTGGTGCTGTGAGCTGCTGCTGCATGCGCTCACAGTCTTAAGACAGTATTAAGTCGCTCTCTCAGTACCAATGCTCTCACAGGCAACACGGATGCTGATTTTTTCAAGATGGTGACTGTTTACACAAGTCCAAACTTAGGTGGGGAACAGAATGTGAGCCCCATGTACCTTGTAAGTTTTCAATCACTTCCTGTACCTAAAAATCCCATATATCGCTCTGTGCGTTATACATATATCGTTTCTGTCCAAATTAAGCGAATTAAAACAGACTTTAATTTTGCCGCATTGCCTAAAGATTTAGTTTATCCAGGTTTGAATTAATGAGATCTTACTGTATTAAAGTTATTTAGTTCTAAAGTGTATAGAACCAACTTTCTGTGTTGTAGAGTGCAATACAGAATTCCAATCTGAGGATGATCAACAGAGCTTCCAGCAAGTTTAAATTTGTTAGTTAAATTTTATCTCTATGAAGATACTGCCATAACAGTGTAATTATGTTAACATACTGCACATAAAAATACAACCAATGCATAACTCGGATGGGTGCCTGTTCAGAATAATCCAAATTAGTGAGCAATCTCAAAAGAAATATACGAAGCATTTACAGAAACTCGTACTGAAAATTACATGAACAGTGAAGTCTGGACAGCAAAAAAAAATTTATATAAATGTGATAGCATAAACCAGTCAAATGGAAGAGTAGATTTGCATATTAAAGATGAACTTACTTTACACAGCATTCAACACCACAAATGAGGTGGTGGAAATAATATAAATCAAATTGGAGAACAAAAACTAAGTAATTATTCTATATTCTAATATACAAACCACCAGATACAATGGTTGAGGAATTTACAGAAGAGAAACAAAACTGAAAAGTCCCTCAATGTGCAAAATCTGGTACCGGATATCATCTTCCTTAGTTTCATTCGGTCAACTGGTTCTGCCACCATAAGCTTATTTCTGCAACGCCAGATACTGGTGACTTTACCATAAAAATGCAACACATTTTAACAATATATATATATATACCCAGTAAAGCTTTCCGAGAGTGGTGATTGTCTGTAGAAGTTGATAAGCTCCGGAAGAGCTGTAAAGTAGCGAGCCTCGCTTAAATAGAAGAAACCATTTCCATCCTGCCGGAAAACTCTCATATGTTTCACCTCGCCCATTGCCCTGTGGAAAAACAGATATATAAATTAAAGTGTTTTTTATATGGCTCATGTTGCATCTGATAAACTGTAAGACTTTTCTTAAAGTATAGCAAACAGGTATATTTTTAACTAAAGAATTCATCACATTAGGGTGCCCGAGGTAACTCTTACATAGAAGCTGTGCCAAGGTGGGAGGTAACCCAACCGGGAGGCCTGGTCAGAGACCGGGCCGGGGAGGCGTTGATCCCCGGAAGCCATAAGGTAGGCATGACATGGTGGAAAACCAAGTAACTAACAGCCACATTATTTAACACAGGTGGTACACACAAGGAAATGCAGGTGGAAACCGAGTACCCAAATGAGCCAAAAATATTAGAAAGAACTTTTTCAGTGTCAGAGAACTAAACAAATGGATTGCACTAGACAGTGATGTGGTGGAGGCAGGTTCTATACATAGTTTCCAATGTAGATATGATAGAGCCCAATAGGCTCAGAAATCTGAACACCAGTTGATTGAGAGTTGAGAGGCGGGACTAAAGAGCCAAAGCTCAACTCGCAAGCACAATTAGGCAAGTATACATAATTGTATCAAACTGCTACAGGCACCCCGTGCCCATTACTTTTGTTCTAGGTAAATCTAGCAGAGAACTGTGAAAGAATGCTATATGCTAACTAAGAAACCCACTGCTGAGCACTACTGGCTGAGCAACATTGCCTGCACACCCATGCCCACTGGGGCCCAGGACCAGAATCTGGTTCTAAGAGGCAAGGGCAGACTTAGTACAAGAGATCAGCCCAAAACTGAGACAAAATATCACCAGAAAGCCCTGGTCACCGGGCCCCAGGAGCCTGCTTCCTCAATAACAAGCCACCCGAAGTGAATTCCTCCACATCACAAGGAAAAAGGAAACGACATGAACAGGGCTCTACCAAGGGCCCCATCAGAAAAGGTTATTTCATAACATATAATGCTTAATTTCTATTATAGCCCCTTCAATAGTTCCCCAGATTAACTCACAATGATGCCTTAGTAAAGGAGGCTATCATTTCAGTAAAGAAAACAGCAGTAAACAGAAAAATGGCTAGCTAGCTAGAAAAAGGGCTAGCATATTGAGAACACAGCAGAAGAGGGCTCAGGTCAGAGAAGCATCCATGCCACACCAAAGTGCAAAACAAGCATGGCAAGGCCATGGAATACCCCAAGCAGAGCCAAGGTCACCATCTCCCCCCCCCCCAATCCCTCAAAGATGGACCATCCAGAACAAGCCTCGAATTTAAACAGCAGCCAGGCAACACAAATTACAGAGCAAGGGGAAGAGGACAGATCCACAGCTGGCCGATATTAAAAGACCCACACGGATGCCAGAAAACCAATGGGCAGAAGACCTGATGGGATCTCCAGCCCAAGGATTATAGCCTCTGTAATAGACTAATAGACCCGAGGGGTCCCAGATGAACCCGAGCTATCAGGTCTACAGGCAAAGCCAAAGTTACTACTGCCAACAGCCAGGATGCCAAAGCAAACAAACCGAGCCTGAGCCCAGAATTATGAAGGCACAGAGCAAGGAAAACTTTGGAACCAGGGTAAACTTCCTTGCAAGCACACAGCCGAGTATGCCACCCAGCAACCAACAGGCACTATACCAAGAAAGCGCCCAGCCCAAAAATGGAAACAACCTGACACACAGCTTGTTAACAGCTGGACACACTGACCTGAAGTGCACACAACCCATAAGCAACCAGAAACATGGTATATAATGCAAATCTCCGAAATCCGGTGCATCTTCCTTAGGCTTGACTGGACCAGCACTTAAATCAGTAAGCCACTGAAGGGTCACTCCCACAAGACTTGTAAACACACACACGTGAAAGCATTTTATATATAAGCACTAAGCCACTGTACACAAATTTTTGTCAATGGATAAACAGACATCTTAATGCAGTTCTCCATCTGTTCTTCTGACATGAGAACAGTCAGGAAAAAGTATGATGGGACTTAGTGAAGTGGGTTTAGGTGCTGCCACCTGATAATGAAAAAGGCAAGTGGATGAATGACCCAAATTTGTGTGAATGATTGGATAAATTCCAATGATACTTAGTAACAGTATGACCCTTCAAGAAACATTTGGAAAATTTCTTGTAGTGCTGGTACCTAAAATATTACCTTTCCAGGCTGCATGATATACACATTAACATAAGAAAGCAGAATCTTATCTTTGTGGGATAGTTCGGAAAACATTTGAAGTTTTGTCTTGCATTTCTGTAAATTTAAGTCTATGGAAAGATGAGTAACCACATTACCTGAACAAATACATAAATATGAAACAGATCCGACAATAAATAAATTACAATTAGGAGGGAACTCACTTGAGTGACAAGACAAGTTTTTCGTGTCGTTCAGACCAGCGAAGAAGGAATGTTCCCTCTGGAGATAATCCCAAGTAAAGTGTAGCATCATCACGGGTCATTCTCTCAGCCCACCAAGGATCATTTTTAATTTGAAGATCCCCATAGCCTGGAAACTGGAAGACAAGATTTGTTACTTGTGGAGCATAGAACTTAAGTTTCAGATTTAACTAGAAAGAAAGTAGTGTGCAAATTGAAGAGTAGATGATGCCATAAATGTAACTACAAACTAATCTCTGCATCGATTAACACCAGATGGCAGGATCCGCCCCACCACAGAATTGGAGCTAGCATCCCACACAGGATATGAACACAATGTAGGGGAATATATATAAGGAACATGACTGTTTGAAGAACAGTATGTACAGTACCGAGATAGTATAATTAAGAATGAGGTGCAATATGAGAGGGGAAGAAATATTACCTCAGAAGAATATTGTCTACTAATGGAGTTGCTGCAGGCATATATAAATGCAGTTATTATAATGACAACTGCAATCCTAACTAACTATAAGCAAGTATAGTTATTCAAATCTGCTTTCTAAAAATATATATTCAGAAACATTTACAAAATACAACATACCCTTGGAGCCTCAGTAACACTGGTGGGAATTGACTGGAAATAGAAAATAATAGACATTAATTTATAGAACAGGCATACACAACCATGCAATACAAATATAAATAATTATATATTACTTGAAGGGGGCTCAATGGCTTGCCTGCCTGCCCCCCCACCCCCCCCACCCACCTCTATTTCTCCCTACATCTCTCCGATCACTATATCCCCTTTCTCTCTCCCCCCCCTTCTCCTCCTCTTCTCTCTCCTCCCCCTTCTCCTCCTTTCTCTCTTTCCCCCCCCCTCCTCCTCCCCTCTCTCTCTCTCCCCCCCCCCTCCCCTCTACCTCCTCTCTCTTTCTCTCTCTCTCTCTCTTCCCCCCCCCCCCTCCTTTCTATTAGAGGTCCAAGACATGTGGAGGCAGTGTGAGATCCTACACACACACACACACACACACACACACACTGCTGTATATATTTTGATACTGACTGAAAAGTAAATGTTTTGGTTCTGAGCATTTTTGGTCACACAGATATCACACACTAAGGTGTACTTACCAGAGGACCTTGGTGCACTGGAAGATCACATTTATGGAGGCTATTCATACACGACTTGTGAACTACCTTCTTGCATTTTGCACACTGGTATCCCTTTAAAAAAAATAATGTCAGGTATAAAATGGTCTTTCTACACAAATTAAAACACAAACCATCATCATTATATATGTCTACCATAAATGCAATAGCAGGATGTAAAACAATAATTTGCCTACAACTTGGAAATACCTAAAGCAACACAAGATCAAGATTAAAAACAAATGCTGAAGAAACAAACATACTGGCTCATCATTTTTGTTGCGTCTCGGTGGATCAATTATGGAGCGTCTTCGGCTTTGTTTATTGAAGCCTTTAACTCTAGCAAAGACTGAATTTCTCCTCCTTGGAAGCTCTTCTTTACCTGATAAAAAGTGATAATCTGACACCCTTTTAAGCCATTCATCACCCAGTCTTTCACACTTGGCCTCTTTCTCAGGACTGGGTGCTTTCTTCATTCTTAGTTGCACTTCTCCTGCCATACTTTTTTCAATATGCTCAGAACTGTCAACTCTTCTAATTCGTTCTGAGAAAGAACGTCCAATGAACTGGCACGTTTCATTAACTTTGGCAAAACTATGCAGAATTTTGTCAATAAAGTTTGGCTGCTGTTGATGTCTGCGGTTAGTGGCAAAACTGGCGACAGGCTTTGGAGCAGGAGACAAAGCTTGTTCTGGTGGTGATAAAAAAAATTCACGACAATCATCCTGATAACATCGGCCTTCGCTTACTTCGGACACAAAGGCATTTCCCTTCATCATATCTTTTTCAGCATACTTTGTTTCACAAACATAAGAAAGCAAAAGTCTTAGAATTCCATATATTATGATAAAAAGTTACACGTTAGCACAAATAAAGTTGCTGCTGCAGCTCGTTGCCAACTGAGTATTGACGTCTGAAGTGGAGTATCTCTTGCTGTGACCACACAACTGCAGATAACAACAGGATGTAACTTCCTTTCACGATACTGCTCCGGCGACAAAATATACACAAGCTTGTTTTAATATTTCAATCCACGTTATGCCGTTAATAATCAGTAATACACATTTCTATTTTCTACATCCCTCAAGTTGTATTCAACTTGAAGCTGATTTACTCTTCACAGGTTTTACTGTATTACTCACCTGCATATAACGAAGCAAAGCAAGATCCACTTAGAAGTCTTTAGCACATGTATTGAGCAAATAGATAGAGGAATATAGAGCTCTTATTTCTCAACAATACACACTGCAGTCAACTCTGTATATCTTGCAACAATGTGAGGGGGGGGGGCAAATTATGCTTTGCAGGCATCTTCCCAAATTCCTTGATAAAGAGAACAATTTTCTGTATATGGAACCCATTGGTATCCTGGCATCAGAAAACAAGGGCAATATCATATAGTCAAATGGGTTGCTACAAAATATCTGGGAGAACAAAAGAAACGAAGTGAAAGTTTTTAAACAAGATTGTTGTTTTGGGGTTATGCAAGATAAAGCTGAAATACAGTGAAAATGAAGAATAAAATGGAGTAAATGCAGCACACCCTGGATCAGGATGCAGAGGGAGAACTCTGAAAACCCATAAGAAGTGACATGCAATATGGAAAATCAATCATATTTGCAAACATGTTTTTAAAGTTACCTATAGTTACCTAACCTAAATCTAAAGTTAAAATCAAGAAATAGAGTTTCGTTCATAAATAGCCTTCTAGTAGTCAAATTCACTATTTGGGTCATCCACGGAATCACATAAAAGATTACATGGTTAGTGAAATCTGGATCCCAAATTATAATCTATATAGATGTGATATAGAAATTAGGTCGAATCAAGGAGTAGGTCTATATACTGTATTAAAGAGTAACTGGCATGCACTAAACTACTAAACTCAACCAATGAGGTGGAAGAGGTACAGTACTTGGAATCAAGGTTGAAAAAATAAACCTAATTATTTTTCTAATATACAAACCGCCAGATGCAACAGTCGAGGAATTCACAGAGCAGCTACACAAAATAGAGAACATCCTTTATAATATCTAGTACTGGGTTTGCTAGGTTATCTTCCTTGGAGACTTCAATCTACCCAGTTTAAAATGGAGAATGGCAAACAACATTATTGCAGGAAATCAACCTGGAAATATCCAACCACAGATCAGAGAATTACCGAGATTCTGTGATAAATTCTCGCTCAACTAAGATTACAGAACCAAAAAAGAACGAACACGCTTGGCCTGATCCTCACAAGCAATGAAGAAATAATTAGACATTACAATCTCAGATATTACATACTCATACCACAAGCTCATTGATGTTCAAACAAACATTAAGACCTGAAGTTAGGTCCTAGAGAATCAACAAGTGAGAAGAGTAATTCAATCAATTCAATTTTAACAAGAGGACCACTGGGAAAAATATAGATCTTGCAAACATCCAATGGGAAACAGTCTTAAGCGACAAAACTCCCGCACAGGAAATAGCCCAACTGACTGCTGAAGCATACAAGATCTGGCTGAAGCATGTATGTGTGAAGGTCAGAAAGAGGCCCACTCTAGGAGGAGAATGCAGAACAGAAGGGTAAAAAATGGGAACGGGGAGATCAAAGAAATAGAGCAGACTCTGAAGCGATCATACCAGTCTGAGAAATTGGAATTGGAACAGAAAGCTATACAAGTGATAAAGAAAAATCCAAAATATTCTTCTACATTTGCAAAATCAAAAATCTCCACCAGTATTGAACCTTTACTTACAATTGAAGAAGCATACACAGAGGATTACAAAGAAATTTGTAAAATCCTATTGATATAAACATGAATGCAGAAGACTTTGAAAGAAAAATTGACAACATGCCCATGCACTCAGCCCCAGGTCTTGACTCGTGGAATTGAACATTCAAAAAGAAATAAGTACAAGAAGTACAAGTAGTGTGAGTGCTGTATGTAATATGGAGAAAGAGCCTGGATACAGGGGAGATACCACCAGCACTTAAACAGCAAATATAGCTCCACTACACAAGGAAGATAGTAAATCTTTGGCAAAAAACTACTTACCAGTTACACTAACATCACACACAGTTTTTGAAAGAGTGATTAGGAATCAAATCTCCAGTTTTATGGAAAACAATGAACTTCACAACCCAGGTCAACATGGATTTAGAGTGGGAAGATCCTATCTATTACAGTTACTCAACCACTATGACAAAACCCCAGAAGCATAAGAAAAACAAAATACAGATGTTGTATACACAGACTTTGCCAATGTATTCAATAAGTGTGACCATGGAGTGATAGCCCATAAAATGAGGTCAATAAGAATAACGAGTAAAGTGGCACATTGGATTTTTAACTTTGTCAAACAGGATGCAAAGAGTAACAGTCAATTAACCCTTTAACTGCTCGGCCTATAAATATGACATCCCCTCAGTGCGCAGGAAATGAAACCTTGGGAAAAATTATTTTTTCTTCAGAAAGTGTCAAAAACCCTTCCCTGTATATGGGTATAGCAACGCAAGTTCGAAATTGTACTTACTTTGGCTGCTATGGGGTCCAAAAGGTGGGCCGTGACGTCATAATTCCCCGTGCGCCAGAGCAGTATGCTCCCGGGGCCGGTGGGGCACCCGGGGCAGGGCGCGCAAGTTGCCGCAAATATATTTTTGCACATTTTTTGCGCACAGTTCCAAATACATTTTGTTTGTTTTTATATGCTAATCCTATGTATAATGAACATGTACACTATATCATGGCAGTAAAACATCCATACTGTCTGAAGACACTGTGTTACATGTGTGACACTTGTGTACACATATGATGCACATATTTACCATGTATCATGCTAATTTATGTATATATACAATCTATTTACAGACTATACACTGTCACACACTATATACATTCACCATCAACACACTCAGAACACCGCGAGTGTGAGCAGCCACACCCAGCCAGCCCTCCCTCACTCCAACATCTTACTCGCCAACATTGCTCCTCCCACCATACTGTTATTGTATTTATTACACAATTTACACATGTTATATATACCTATCTACATGTTTTATTTACCAGAACTATGCAAGTAAGCCGGTATTGTGTCCAAACAGTACAGTGGCCACCATACACTGCATGACAAATCACACAGCAGACAGCAGACGACACCACGATTACGACGTCACCTCCCTCACCAAAATAACTCCTCACAACATACTCCTGGTGCTGTTATTACACTATTCCACACACACTGTATATACCCATGTACGTGTGTGTTCCCCATAGCGAACCACGAAGCTAGTATGGTGAGCAAAACAAGAGTTACTGCCACACAGTGAGGCTACCTCAGTTCTCTCCCTTCCTCCCTCCCTCACCAAACTTCCTCCTTCCTACGCACAACGCTCATTATAACCACAATCCTGGTCACTAATACCTGTAAATGAATAATTGACCACAAGTTTATTTTGAAAAGGAACCTAAAAAGTCGTTTGAAGGTTCCTACATGGACGAACTAATGCTGTGGTGCTGTGGCTAGCGCTCTGAACATCGTGAACAGCATTGAATCACTGATATTTGAACATTGTACCCAGTCATTATCACACTTGGGCTCTTCTATAATACTATCATGACTAAATAAAACAGATTATGTATATATTTTGACAATATTAGGCGATGCTGTGATCACACGCTGAACAGCAGTGCTGTGCGCTCATGCTGCGAGCGCCAGCCTTGGTTGCTCACTCACTACCGAGGCTCTGGCACCTGGCAATGTGGACCATGATTTTTTTTAAAGATGGCGTCTGTTTACAAGAGCCCTGAGGAAGCTGATGTGAACCCCATGTAGCCGCGGGAGTTTTGAATGGAACGTGAAAAATAAAAACACCCGGATGCGCGTTGCGCACCTGAAGCCTGGGCCTGCAGGCGCGTTGCGCAGTTAAAGGGTTAAATAAGATCCAAGTGCAGTGAAAAGCCATACCTCAAGGCACAGTCCTTGCCCCACTCCTCTTTCTCAGTCTTATCTTGGATATAGGCAAAAATACTAGTCATAACTTTATGTCATCCTTTGCAAATTATACAAATTATGCAGTGTGCGAGACAAAGATTTTTGGGATTAGTACTAGAGCAGCATTTCTCAACATTTGTACTCTTGAAATAATCCTGGGTCGTACTTTAGATGAACGCACATGGATTTCATTGTCAACTAAAAGGATATGATTTTTTTAATTTATTTTAACCAGTATCAAAAGCAAACAAATTAAAACTCAAAAATACATTTGCATATGATTAAAATTAGCCTATTTATCAATATCTTTTGCAGAACCCCTAGTTACCTTGGGGTTCCACGGAATCCAGTTGAGAAACGCTGCTCTAGAGAATAGGATCATTATTATATGAAGTTGTAGAGGAAATGTAATAGGTAATTGATTGGTAAAATAGGAATAAAGACTCAAAGATAAGACGGATACAAATGGTGTCCCATGTGTAAATGATAAAGGGTGCAGACAAAGATTCTTTCTATGCAAAAAGTTATGTACAGTATTACAAATGCATATTTGAAACGTCAATATATGTAGGTATACACGGCCTGGAGTTAATGAGCAAATGGTAGAAAATAACTACTAAATTTTGTGCTGGAGGAGAGAAGCAGGTTGACTCATGTAAGATGAAAGCAGAACTGGTATACCAGGAGATTTATCTCATCACATTTTGTGCTATAAAGGATTGGAGTGAACAGTACAGCGACAAGTGTGATGTATACAGGGAAATTTTGTATACAAGCATGTATACAAAATGTGGATGTATAAGAGCTATAAGAGCAAGATGTGGTGTACAAGAGCTAGTAAAATAATAAAAGGAACTGATGTAATGAAGATGTGGCAAGAGCAGTCAATAATAAATAATAATAATAAAATAAACTTCTTTAGATGGATATAGAAGGTAAAAAACACAAAATAAAGTTTTGATTAGTGTAAAAGGTACATGAAAACATAAGTTAACCAGAAAAAACAGTTTGCAAGAAAATCAAAAGATCTGAAAGAAATAAGGAAGTACAACAAGGAAACTTGTGAAAACACCAATAATAACAATATTTAAGACAAATGTGTAAACAAGAAATTATAAGTAGGTGGCTATCTTCTTTTCGAGGTTATCTCGAGATGATTTCAGGGCTTGGTGTCCCTGTGCCTGGTCTTCGATCAGGCCTCCTTTTTGTTACCCCCCCCCCCATCCCCAGGAAGCAGTCCGTAGCAGCTGTCTAACTCCCAGGTACTGTACCTGTTTACTGCTAGGTAACAGGGGCATCGGGGTGAAAAACATTTTGCCCATTTGTCTCCGCCTCCACCAGGGATCTAACCTGAACCTCAGGACTATGAATCCGAAGCGCTGTCAGACGCCCAGGCAAGGATACTTTGAAATTCATTATGTGGACATTCATTGTGTGTGTGAATATGATTGGTTTGGCTGATGGGCAATATAGAATACCAGCAGTTAAATACAACAGAGCAGAAGTTGAGATATGAGAAAGCTGCAGGAATAGGTACTTTATAGATACTGTATATAGATATGTAGAGGTGGTCAAGAGTGAAGGCACATTAAGACTGAGAAGAATGGAATCTTCTGTTTAATGGGAGTCATTAAACTAATTATGGTCTAGTATAGATGACTATTATAGTTGAGAGCAAGTGTGTTTTATGCAAAACAGTTTTACGTTTTAGTTATGTATTGGGAAAGAAGACTGCTAAATGTGAACTTATTTTTAAAATGAGGACAAATTATTGAAAATTTCCCACTTTGCGAAACTCGACTGGAGAAAATATTTGCTTCACATTCACAAGCGTTATTCTTGAAAGTGCCTAAAAATGTCCAGAATAATTTCCGAAAACTCCTGACAATACTATAGTACTCCATTTTCTCTCGAACCAACCACAAGCAAGCTCTCGTAAGCTGAAATACAAGAATAAAATTGAACCCAAAAAGTTTCGTCTTACCTGAAACATGGTTCCTTTGAGCAACTTATGACATATACTGCATCTAGTGTTTGGCTTGGTGAAAGTGGTGATGGAGAAATCGTGGTTCAGTGTGGTGTTCTCAGGAGGGTTCAGATAGTCTCTGCAGGAGTTAAGATGGGGCTTTAATGAATAATTAAGTCTCTTGCAGGATTAAAGTGCAATCATTCCTTCATCTGAGAATAAAATTGATAGAACTTCTTATACATAACTACAATACATTTGTTGGAAAACAACAAAATTGAAAGTCAATAAGCAATTTCTAACAAAATATGATACTTGATTTCAGCATTATTAACATTGTTTATAAGATAAAAAAAAAAAATTTTTAAGGGTAATCATCCCCCAAAACAGTTAGATTTTCTTAAGAATTTTACTGAAACAAGCAGAATCACTTCCTTCAGCCAATTTAAAATTAAGATACATTACAGCTTATAATAACCTACACAACTATTCTCTCAAAACTGTACCTACAATAAAGAGGATCTAGTTCTTGGGCCACACCTCACAGCTATTAGTAGTTTGTGCATTTATACCTCCCTCTATTGTCTTGTGTCCGAGGGCCTCGCAGAGGCTTGGTTTCCTGATCCTCTCCTAGAAAATCCCTGTATCTTGTCCAGCCACCTACTCTGCTGTTCTACATAAGCATCCATCTGATGTTGGCTAGAAGTGTGATTGGAATAACTATCACTGGGTTCTTTCCAACCATTTTCCAAAAATCAAACACCCCAAAGCCATGGATGCTTCTGACATTCTCGTAAAGCCACAAGCACGCAAAGCATTTCGAGCAGGTCCTTAATCCTAATTTACCCCCTGGAATATGACCCACTAAATCATTTAACAGCCAAGTACCCATTCACTGCTGGGTGAACAGAGGCTACAGTTAAGGATTGGCACCTGGTCAATTCTCCACGGCCAGGATACAAAACTAGGCCAAAGCGGTCGAGAAGCGTCGGGCGCGTGCTTTACCACTACGCCACAGGGACTGCAATATTACTTGTACTGTATATTAATATTGATAACAGAGGTCTTAAGTTTACTGAGGTCCTCCTAGCCAATAATGGATGGATAAAAGAAAAAACTTCATGTGTTAATGTTATAATCAATCTGGAATAAAAATGTTGAACTACTACAAATAAACTTACATTGCTTCACTAAGGTTCTTCATCCATTTCTCTTTTGCATCACTGTCCTTGGCGACGATGGTGTATGCCTTCTCGTTACCATTAACAACCAGATAGAAACTATTTTGTTTAATTTTTGTACTTCCACCATACGTCGCACTAACTGTATTCTGTACCTTGCAGTTCTTCAAAGGAACAAAGTCCTTGAATGCATATTTTTCATCCTAGAGAATGCAATTGCAATAATTAAAATATGAACAATAGTTATTTTGAAAAAAACACATATGTATTGTATATATCAGGTAATCAGAAGAAAATATTTTATATCAATAACAAAAATGCATTTAATACATTAAGGTTAAGTGTGTATTTTTGTGCGCGCTTGTGTGCATGTAATTATCTAAGTGTAGTTACAGGATGAGAGCTACACTCATGGTCACTCCCTACGGAGTGACCATGAGTGTCACCGACCGGATAAGGGATCCGGTCGGCTGAGCGGACAGCACGCTGGACTTGTGATCCTGTGGTCCTGGGTTCGATCCCAGGCGCCGGCGAGAAACAATGGGCAGAGTTTCTTTCACCCTATGCCCCTGTTACCTAGTAGTAAAATAGGTACCTGGGTGCTAGTCAGCTGTCACGGGCTGCTTCCTGGGGTGGAGGCCTGGTCGAGGACTGGGCCGCGGGGACACTAAAAGCCCCGAAATCATCTCAAGATATGGTGCACGACAGTCTTCCCAGCACTGTCATGTACCGCTCTGAAACTACCGACGCTTTTGGGCTCCACTATTTTCTCACTAACCTTTTTCCAAATATTTACCACTCTTGTTTCCAAAAGAAAACTTGAATATTTTTGGGGGCACCTTCCTCCTCTCCCTCCCTCCCTCTCACATCTTAGTAATCTTCCCAAGTTACCGTTGTCAACATCAATTGCTACTTTGTGTGTACCACTACATCCTCCTCGCTTCTCCTGTCTCTCCCATGCTGCTTATTATTATGCAAAGTATACCTCATCTTGCATTCTCTCTCCAATCTTTCTCATTAGCAAGACCACATCTGGTGTATGATTTCTCATTTATCAATTCAGAAACTTTGGACCTAATATCAACATTTGTAAATAGCATCCACAAAAGGGGATTCTTCATATCAATCTTTCCCCGAATCATGCTTGGTCCATCAGTCCTAACTGGTCCATGGACTACCACACTCTTAACCATTCCTGGTCTCAGACTTATTACCTTGCATTCTTTTTTATCATCAATGTTGCTTGCATTATTTTCATAGGAGGCAACCTTCACTTTTTTATATTGACTAATTTGCTTGAAATCTGTTGCATGTTTCTGTAAACACATCAAAACCTTACAATGCCAATAATTTTTGCTATAATTTTCAGTCAAAAGTTCCTGACAGTTCTTGACAACATGTCCCTCTCCTGGGCCCCTAAAACTATCAGACTTATTCCTTAACCACTTTAGGATTACAAATTAAACCTTTCCTAATTTCCTCATTCGTCACTAATGTTCAACTCAGAAGTGACACTCATTGCTTCGCCCAGCTACCACTAACAACATTCGTCTCCTTCGATAACCTAGGCTCAACTTCTCTACACGTCCTACATTCTTTTTTTTTTTTTTTTTTTTACCCTTCTCCCAGCCAATATTGACCTTCTCCCAATATTGAACTTCAGTCAATACTGACTTTCAACCTCCATCTCATTTTTATTAATGTTACTTAAAAACTTGGTCGTCCAATAAAAGGTATTCAACCATCGACTATTGAATGGTTATTTCAGATTTAAACCTCGCCTGCTTATCCACAGCTTTCTCCATCCAGTATCCTTACTTCTGGATAATACCCATCAAATGGGTTACATCCAAATTCACATCCTAGAAATCCACAATGTTCAGTTCACGTTTTAGTCCCCCTTGAATAATTAACAATCGAGACCTATACTGCACCATGCCCACTAATTTGAACCAATAGGAGCCTAGAAGACTCCCTATCCTGTAACATACTTCCCTATACCTGCACCTATGTTGACGTCTGAAGAGCTAGGATAACGTGTGCACATGTATAAACTGTGCTGAGGACACACATGACAATAGGATCCACTTTGTATATAATATGGGGAAGAAAGGTGTAAATGTATATTTGTGTGTAAAAAGCTGTTTTTAAAGTGACCATCAATAACTTTACAATATTGTACATTTGAATTAAGTGTTATTACAAAACTACAATTAATCACTTATAGTGCACACACACACAATATATACAGATGTAATCTACACAAAAAATTAACTTTTGACATTTCAAATTACAATACATGTTTTAGTGAGAAAAAGTGCATAATTAAGTTTTAATATTAAATAATAATAAAAAAAATCAACTCCTTAAATCTAAAACAATTAATATCACACAGCAAGTCAACACAACTACAGAGCAAAGCACAACATAGACGTTTGTGGGACTCCTAGTGGCACTTTACCTACAAATAAAATAACCATATAGTTTATTCATTACCCTTTGGCAGCATTACACTGTGAAAGCACTCTTCTGCTTGACTTCAATAGATGAAGACTATTGAGACTGTTACAAAATTAGTGTAATTTACTTTACTTAAAACACCTTAAAATACCCCCACACACACACAAACTCCCTCCCAGCCCTGGAGGGATGACAGGGAGACTGCTGACACGGATGAAAAAGTTTCTAACCGACAGAGACGAGCGTGGTAATCAGAGGCAACGTATCTGACTGGAGGTGTGTTACTAGCGGAGCACCACAAGGTTCAATTCTTGCACCAGTAATGTTCATCACCTACATCAATGATCTACCAGAAAGAATCCAGAATTATAAGAGCATGTTTGCTGATTATGCTAAGCTACACGGGAAGATAGAAAATATAGACAATTGTCATGTCCTTCAAATTGACCTAGATAAAACGTGCCAAATGGAACCGAATGTGAATAAATGCGATGTTATGGAATGTGGAACAGGAGAAAAACCACACACAACCTACAAATTATGTGGAAAGGAATAAAAGAACTAACAAAGAAAGACCCAGGAGGATTCTGGATAGTAGAATGTCACCAGAGGAACTTCTCTGGTACATTTATTCTGTGTCCTTATCCCTTCCCAGTGCTAGTCATAATGGCTTGGTGCTTTCCCCCCGATAGTTCTCTTCTCCGAGAAGTGGGACCAAAGGGCCGCAGCTCAACACCTGCATGCACAACTAGGAGAGTATAAAGGCCATTGTGCAAGGAGCATATGCTGGGCTTTCCAACTTCAGGTTTGTTTTTAATTACATGGATGGTGAAATACTAAAGAGTGTTCATGACTTTTGTGAGACCAAAATTGGAATATGCAGTAATTGTCTGGTGCCCATATCTCAAACAGCACAGCAGTAAACTGGAAAAGATGCAAAAGGATGCTGCAAACTGGCTTCCAGAACTGAAAAACAAGGGTTATGAAGAGAGGCTAGAGGCATTAAATACAAAGGCAAAGGCTAATAGAGGCAAAACTAGAAGATAAAAGAAAAGAGGCAATATAGTCACCACTTTATCATAACAGGAACCAACCAAATTGATAAAACAATGCCTGAAACCAGCAACCTCAAGAACAAGATGTTATGGATTCAAGCCAAGAAAACAAAGGTGCCAAAAAATATATCAGTAAGTTCTCTTTTTGCAGAGTGGTAGATGGTTGAAACAAGCCAAGTGAGAAAATTGAGAGGAAAACTATCAGTAGTTTCAAAGCATTATATGACAGTGCTGAGAAGACAGGACACCAAGAGCATAGCTCTCATCCTATAACTATATTTAGGTAATTACACATGCAGTATAGTACTGTATATGTGCATGTATGAGTGTTTAACCAGCTGGTTATTTAGCTACTTTTAGTTACAGGCAGAGCGCTACGCTCATTATATCCTATCTTTTTTAACCCTTAGACAGCAGTTATCATCAATTGTTGGTTCATAGGGTAATGCAGTTATCATATGAAGATTTAAACAATTATTGTCTGGGTTTTACATGCATGATGTAAATATGGATATAATAGTTTATGTGGATGCAATTGAGTTTTCGTTGATCCATGAAACAAGCCAGCGTTGAATGAAATGAAACGCCATTTTCTGGGCGAGCCTCAGAGGCTCCCCGAAGTCACCCAAACTTATGTGCTATATTAGTTTGAGGTCATCAGTCTCAAGAGTCCTTATGCCTACCAAAGACTATGAGCCAAAACAAGGCCCACTCAGAGAGATGCAGGGAGCAATGGTCTGAGTAATTTACATTTAAAGTGTCATAATTGCCATCGACCGGGAAAAGCACTCTAGAAAGGTAGGCGAATCAAAACGGACCACTGTCTGGTTAACCTGTGCAATCTATATCCGAAAAGATCAAAACTCCCCCTAGAAAGAAACGACAAGCAACACTTCATGGAACTAGCACTACTGCTCATTAGCGTTAAGGTAACGCTAACGTTGGGCAGCTTGTTGTAACCTTCATAGCCGACAGGGCTCCCCACAGAAAATCCTGCCACCATTTCATGGTGCAAATGCGGTCATTATCATGATTGTTATTAAATGAATGTAGTCATGATGATGATTTAAGTAATTATTGTCTGGGTTTTACATGTATGCTGAAAATATGGATATAAAAACTGTGGATGTAAAGAAAAGCAAGTGATGAAACAATCAGTGAAACATCAGAGGATAAAACAAAGTGTCACCATAATTGAGCACCGGGTGTTGACAAGTGCCAGATGCAACCTTGCATAGTGCCTCCCACCCAGTGAATACGAAAAATATTCACCTATTTTTGTGTTTTTCTTACATTCTGCATACAAATTAATAATTCTATACTGTAATGACAAATTGTGTGTTGGAATTTTTTAATTTTTTGTGCATATGCGGGTATGACCGTTTCTTTATAGCTGCTGTCTGAGGATTAATTAAATGTTAAATAGTTTTAGAAATTCTAAATATTTTAGTACACAAATCTACTTCCCTATTGGTAAAAATCAGGCTTTAGTGAGTAAAAACACACTTTTCTGAGCACACAAGATATTCCTATGGCACGATATATCCTGTTGCCCAAGTATTTTTTGTTATTTTTTGTTTTTTTGCAGGGATACTCCTGTGGGAGTCTTAAGCCTCTAGCTGGTCTACTGTTATTTGTTTCTCGTTTCTGTCTTACTTAAGGAGTGTATGAGTATTTATGGTGACATT